GTGGTTTTTACACCCCCTTTTTTTTTTCTTTTTGTGGGGGGGGGGGGGGGGGGGGGTGTTACGAACGACTTCAGGTGTGTATAAATCAAAGTGACTGTCCTCTCCCTGATCCAGACGTCATGTGTCCGTCTCCACCCGAGGTGGAGCACGGCTACGTGGTGGCCGTCCAGCGGACCGAATATGAAGTTGGCTTCCACATCCACTATCTGTGCAAGAAGCACTTCCTCCTGGATGGAGCCCAGAAGGTCACGTGCCTGTCCAATGGCAGCTGGAGCGCCTCACCCCCTTACTGCAGAGGTGAGAGAGAGCCTGGGTGAGTCAGACTGACGTCCCCCTCACTGTCAGCTGTCACAACAGACCTAGAACATCTAGATCTATCATCATAGAACACCTATCATCTCTACCATCCATCCATCCATCCATCCTTCCATCCATCCTTCCATCCATCCATCCATCCATCCATCATCCATCCTTTCATCCATCCATCCACCATCCATCCATCCATCCTTCCATCCATCCATCCATCCATCCATCCATCCATCCATCCATCCATCCATCCATCCATCCATCCATCCATCCATCCATCCATCATCCATCCTTTCACCCATCCACATCCATCCATCCATCCATCATCCATCCTTTCATCCATCCATCCACCATCCATCCATCCATCCTTCCATCCATCCATCCATCCATCATCCATCCATCCATCCATCCCTGTCAACTGTCTACCGTGGTGTTTCCATCAGAGGATTCTGGAGGATGACCTTTTGAACAGACGGACGACTCAGAGGAAGTCCGCTGGAGACAGGAAGTAGCTAACAGTACTTCATTGCATTAGGACCTGTACATCTCTGGCCGCTGACCAGAGGTTGAAGCACCTACAGACACATGATCCAGGAGATTCAGTGGAAGTGGAACTGTTTACTCCAGTGTGTGTGTATGAGGACGTGTTCTGGAGCAGTGTGGATCTGATAATCTGACTACTAACTTTTCAGCCCGCTGT